AAGTTAACGTTTTATGCGTATATCAAACGTCAAATTTTGGAAGCAATGTCAAAAAAGAGCGAATTTCGCGCAAGTGATAAATAGGATTTAGAATTGGGGTTAAAAAAGACATCATTTTTTTCTACAACTGTCAAAAAATGATGATTTTCGCACACTCATGACAGTTTGCAAAGTTACTTTTTTTTCCCAGGTATTGATTTTTTAACGTTCCCATGACCCCAGTGTGCGAACTAGCTATTTCGCACACTGGTGTCATGGTGACACATATCTGTCAAGATGCCAAAAATAATTAAAATTCACCTGCCTTTGATTGGAAATGCAATTTTGGCTTCGAATGATCGATATTTGAATGGAGTTGTAGAAAAAATATTGTTTGCAACTCGGGCGCGAAATGTTTTTGGTGATGACATTTCGCGCACTTGATACAAAAATAACTATTAATTTGTTAAAAAATCCAGGGGCGTAGGTACCACTTTTTTGTTTGAAAAAAATAAAAGTCGCTCTAGGTCCGGTCCTGGAAAAGTGGAACTGAAACGGATTTTTTAGAGAGATGCTTGAGAATATCGCAAATACTCTCTTAAAATTAGAGCAAAATCGCTCAAGACATTTTGAATCTGAAAGTAGAAAGTCAAAATAATCCGAAAATGTCAACGCCTAAAATCTGTTTTTTTTTTAAAGATAATAGGGTACTTGCATGGAAAATTAAATTGATTATTGTTTATTGCAAACTGCAGGAAATCGAAAAAAAATCGTTGCTTTTTTTTTATTCCGCCCAAATATGAGTATTCCGGAAGTTATACAAATATTAAGTTTTTTATATATAGATATACTGAGCATGTGCGACGTCACAACTCACAACGTATTATACCTAAGTTATGACGTCGGAAGGACATTTCAAAGCGTTGTATCTCCGTCAATTTTTGACTAACAAGAAAAAGAAAAAACACGTGTTGACTTATTTTTCATGGACTATCGAAATCTGCAATAAAAAAATTTGATGCAAGGGGCCTATTCCCCAAGTCAAAAATTTAGTAACTTTGTTGGCAACACAACTTAACACAAGCCTTTTCTACATAAAAATTTTTAAAGAATTGACAATTTTACATTGTATTGCCAACAGAATGTCATTTTGACTTGTTTCTTTAAAAAAAAAACAGACTTTAGACTTTATATTTTCTCACCGAGATGTTTGCGGACACATGTACAGTCGTGACTCGAGAGCTTAGACCTCGAGAGCATGAAAAGTGGGACAGGGACACCCGACTGACAGGTCTTGTCATAGTTCGCTATTTTGGGTAAATCATAGCGATTATTAGCGATTTCCATTTGTCGAACCAGTGCAAAAAAAATGTATCCATATCCTTACGCGTTACATGCTTTTAGAAAAAGATGGGGATACACTCAGTGCGTACTGATTGACAAATGGAAATCGCCATTATGCCTGTATGCACCATTTTCAGGTATTTTCTTAATTAGCTAATCAGGGCTAATTATGTAATCACGGTTAAAAAAGTCGATTCGATGTACCAAAGGATTTTGCATTTGCCTGGTATGCACCATTACACAAATTCTCTGATTAAACTTTAGCCCTGATCACATAATATTTTTCGTATGCACCAAGCGTTTTTTTCGCCTAATCGGCAATTAACTTAAATCGCTCGATGGCCTGGAATTTAGGATAACCGCGGCTATAATGAAATGAGGTTAGAATGTTTTGTTTTGTTTTTACATTTTAAAAACATTTTTGTCCCCAAAAAATTACTGGAAAACGTGTGTGTGGCGAGGGTGAGCAGGGAGAAATCAAATAAGGAATATGGAGATGGACCACCTATTATTTGACGAGGATTTGGATACTGATAAATAATGATTGTGTTAGATGGGCTTCCAACGCGTTGGAATGAGACGGAAAATTATTTTGAAGCCTTGGATGGATGATCTTATAAACCAATAGTCGTAGATCTTCCTGAAGAGGTGGAAGATGCCCTAACTTAACTTATGATGATAGGGTGGTAGTATTTATATGCAATTTTATGGCTTGATTCCAGTAACTAATGACTATGTAATTACGGTAATTACTGTTTATTTCAAATAAAATGCCCAGGATGCTTTGTTTGTTTGTGTATACTGTATACCTAAAATTTATTCATCGAAAAAAACGCAGATATGGGGTCTCGCGGGTCTCGCCAACCCAAAATTGGCTATTATCAGGGCCAAATACTGGAACTGATCTTCACAGTGGGAACTGATCCACTGCAAAATAAACAGGTCCGGTCCAAGTTCGAGTTCAAGTCCGGACCACTTTTGCGTTGTCTACGTTGTACGGACTCGGAGTCAAACTCGAACTAATCGGATCACGCCGCGCCGGCCAGTGGAACAGGAAAAAGTGTGGACTCGGAGTAGGGACACAGATTCAGAGACGGAGTACATTACACCGACAGACTCGTTTCGATCAACGGCTCCGGATTGTCGGGATCACGCCGCACCGGTGCGGCCGCTGGAACGGATAGAGTACGAGAGTGAACCGCCGATAGGATATAAAGCTGCTTTCCAGTATGTAGCTGTATTCCTTTCAAGAGTTTGAAACACTAGAGCTACTCGCTCCGGTGTGTCAACCCGATTTGAAAGGAACAGATTCGCCGACTTTCGTGCATTTATGGTTTACTTTGGGCTTGAGTACTCAGGTGCAACAAACACTTTTCGGAAGGAATAAGCGCGTAAAGCCCCGGAGCCTCTATGCCCGGAGCTGTTCCGGAGCTCCTCATACTATTCACCATTTTCACCTATTTTCGTTATTAGCTAATCACGGATAATTATGTAATCACGGTAAAAATGTCGGTTCGATGCACCAAAGGATTTTGCAATTTTGCACTCAAATTAGTTAATTGTGATTTTGTAATGAGGGCCACCTGAAAGGAACTCACCGATAACGTCGCAAATTTCCTATAGATTTTAATAAAAGGCAATAAAAGCCCATTTTGGGTTGGCGGTATGTGGGGTTGGCGAGACCCATTCTGCGTTTTTGTCGATGAATTTTAATTTTATAAACAAACAAACAAAACATCCAAGGCATGTAGGGCATTTTATTTGAAATAAACAGTAATTACATAGTCATTACCTAACCTAGTTATTGGAATCAAGAATCAAGTCATAAATTTGCATAGAATGTAGGTACTACACCCTATAATAATGATAGGGCATCTTCTACCTCTTCAAGAAGATCTATGATCTACGACATTGGCTTATACCTAGATCAGATCATCCAAGGCTTCAAAATAATTTTCCCTCTCATTCCAACGCCTTGGAAACGGAAACCCATCTAACACAATTTCATTATCCAAATTAATCATTGTCAAATAATGTCTCTCCACCTCCATATTCCTGATTTCAGTTCTTTTTTTTTCCTGGCTCACTTCACACAAATTTGTTCCAGTTTTTTTTTTACAAAAATGTTTGTAAAATGTAAATATGAAATTTGAAATCGGAACCAAAACAAACAAAACACCTAACCTCATTTTATTAACTAGCCGCGGTTATCTTGTTCTAAATTCCAGGCCATCGAGCAATTTAAAGTTAATTGCCAATAGGCGAAAAAAACGCTTGGTGCATATGAAAAATATTTTGTGATCACGGCTAAAGTCTTAATCAGAGAATTTGTGCAATGGTGCATACGGGCATTAGTCTTTTTTCTATAGTCGTTTTCACGCGGCTCTGGTTCAAATGGTTATTAGCGGTGTTAAGTCCATTGAAAATGCCACTTGAAATCGAACGGTCATGTGTATCTTGAAAAAAAATATCCTTATTATGTATTTTAACTTTAACCTTTAACTACTTCCATGTTCGTCAACTGATTAGGTAGGTAAAAACTTTAAAATAATATTAGGTACCAAAACAACAAAACACAAAATTTTTTATTCAAATTTACACCTGCACGTTCCCGCTCTCCGTTTTTCATAAATTTTCTATTTTTTTTTTGTTCTAACCGTTAAACGTGAACATATCGCCGAGCTGGTTAGAGAAATGACATACATACCGTTTCCTAACCCGGTTACAATGTGACGTCATCGATACTACTTAAATGTAGGGGGCTGTGCCCCAGGTATAAGTTGTATTCCTTTCACACCTAGGAGGAGCTCCGGAACAGCTCCGGGGCTTCACGCGCTTATTCCTTTCGAAAAGTGTTTGTTGCACCACGCATATGTTCCCTGCAAATCGGGGGCGACTAAGCACCGAAGCGAGTAGCTCGAGTGTTTCAAGCTCTTGAAAGGAATACAACTATAGTTGATGAGCTCGTTTTACAATAGGAAAAAACGGGTATCCCACTTTTTAGGCTCGCGACTGTACCTATGCGAAGAGTGATCAATAGTTTTATTACTTTCAAGAATTTGAAACACTCGAGCTACTTGCTACACGGTGTTTAGTCGCAGGGAACAGATGCGTGGTGCAGCAAACAGGAATAAGCGCGTGAAGTCCCGGAGCTCCTCTTAGGTGTGAAAGGAATACAACTAGTGATTGTCCTACTGTACTCTATCAATCATAACAAAATGCGCACTTATTTTGGATTCACCCTGCAAAAGAACATCAATAGCATTTTCGGCTTTACTGCTCCCAGAGCGCTCCCTGTTTGGGCGTGACGTCACAGATCTCTGCGGGACTGCAGGAGTGCTGCGAGAATGAGAAACGAGGACACGACACACCATTTGAAATCAATAGCCGAATGTCCTTCTTTATTGTTTTGATCAAACTCTGATCCATCGAATTTCAAGGAACAAGAAAGAGCGCTTCATGTGAATTTTTAAAGAGTTCTATTGCTCGAGTCAGAACACGTGAATCTCGCTGAGAGCAACGCCCGTTTTCAGCCGAACATCTGAATCCGTTTTGGATCGCTTTTTAATCCATTGGCTGCAGTTTTGCGGCAAAAGTCAAAAACGCTATTACACCGAAAAAATTCGAGTGCTCATTGGGGCGACAAATAGAAATCGCTATTGATATCAAAGTGTCAAATCAAAAGATGTCAAAATAGTTCATTGGTCAAAAGTCAACAAAACAAAAACAAACAACAAAAATATTCATAAAAAATAGAAAATAAAAATTGCAAATTGGAGAAAATATAATAATTGATCAGAACTAAACTAAAGCCACAAAAAACAGGTGAGAAGGAATACATTTTTCATGCAAATAATTGATAGAAATTCATAGGAGATTGAAAAAATGGCATCAGATGAGGAGGATCCTTATTGCCAAGTCGCTGTGGGAAAGCTCAAACTCAAAAAGGATGGTGGTATCAAGAAGAAAAAAAAGAAAAAGAACAAAAAGCTTTTGGAGCAAGTGTCCAAAACCATTGAGACCACTGAGGAAGCAAACGAATCACTAGAAAAAGTTGCAACTACAAAGACAAAGGCTGAACTTGCCTTTTTACAACAACAGGAGAAAATGGTGAGAACTTTTGTTTGATCTCCTTGGAATTATGCAATTTTGCCATTCTCATCTCTGCATGCCTTACAGAGATTTCTCATTCTTCAAGATAATTATTTATTGTTTCTTATTTACAGAGAACACAGAGAATATTAGAGAAGGCCTCAATGACACACAAGGAGAGAGTAGAAAAATTCAATCAACATTTAGACAGTCTCACAGAACACTTTGATATTCCTAAAGTATCATGGACAAAATAAACTTCTGTATTGTTTACATTTAAAAATAATTATATTTATAGTGGTTTCAAGCTAACATCAATATAACAAAATTTAATAAACTTTATTTATTCTTTTTATGTGTATCAACAATTTCCTTCAAAACCATTTTAAGACTTCTTCCAAAACTTTCATGAGAAAAGTTCTGGTCTAATTTTTTCTTTCCTTCAACACCCATATTTTTTGAATCTTCAGTGACGATTCTGTACATGAACTGGGCCAAACTATCGGCAGTTGGTTCACACAAGTATCCAGTTACACCATGATCTACAGTTTCCCTTGGTCCACCACTGTTCATTGCAATTACAGGTTTTGATACTAACATTGCTTCTAAGGGCACTATACCGAAATGTTCTTTAAGAGGAGTATACAGTAATGCAGTGCAAGATGTTAACAAATCCACTTTCAAACTGTCTGAGGGCGATTTTAAAAATATCATTTTATTTTCAAGATTTTTCTCTTGCACAAGTTTTGAGAGTTCTTCAAATGTATCCGCATTCGTTTTATTGATAGGATCATATCCACCAGCAATAATACAAAAAATCCTATCCCATTCCTCTTTGGTTGATATTGATTTTAATTTATCCATAGCATTTACAGCAAAATCCAATCTTTTAGCTGGATGAAAACGGTTGATTGATAAAAACACTGTTAAATTATTCTTTTCTGATCCAATATCCACTACTTCACCTATAGGTTTTATTGTTTTCAATTTCTGAACACTTTCTTTGAAAGACCAGGCAATGGTGGGATATAAAATTTGAATAGGTTTTTGAATTTCTGGAAATGTTCTTCTGAAAATAGATGCGGTATAGTTGCTGTTGACTAGAATAATATCAGCCAATGCTGTGGCTTTTAATTCGACCCAATCAATTGGCTTACGATAAATTTTCTTCAGTTTACCTCCTGGTGGCGAAGCCAGTAAATCTGGATGATGGCAATAGTAAATCACTTTTTTGTTGGCTAATTTTAAAAAAGGTATAGCAGTAGGAATTAAATCGACAAAATATAAATCTGGCATAAATTCACTTTGTCCAAAGAGGATGTAGACTATAGTTAGATAAACTATACGGATATAGGCAAGCAACGCTTGGCATCTGCCAAATATTGTTCTTGGTATCCAGTCACCGTAAACCACCACTGGAAATTCTTCGTTTTTCAGTTCTTCAAATGCATGGTTTTTGTCGTAATGATTTGTAATGAAAAGTATGTCGTGGTTTTGCTTTTTCAAGGCTCCGGCGACGTCCAGGACTAGTCTTTCGGCTCCTCCGATTCCTAAATCCGGATGAATAAATGCAATTTTCAGTCTCTTTTGGGAACCCATTTTCGTTTATCACAGAAGATAGATACTGGCCACGTTATATCATACTTTTCTTGAAATGATGAAGTGGATACAGTAGAGTAGATTTTTCTAATCAAACTGATACAGTATTCGTATTGATAAAAATTATTTGATTTGATTTGAATGGTTATTGAAAAAACATACCCAAGGCACAACACAACAGTCACCTGAGTGACGTCACAACAACATGCACAGCTGGCCGCTAGCTGCAGCCGCGTTCGATAACTCGTTGAGCGTTATTAAATTCAAACGATTGTCTTTTTGGTAATAGAGTTCTCGTGCCGTCCAAATTTCAAATACCCTAACGCTATTTGACAAGTATGACTTCTTACGGTAGAGATATCGGTAAAACAGATAGCGCGTATGGACGGTAATAACGTCAGAGTTATTTTTTTAAAGTAAAGCGGTATCATACTTTCAAATTAGAGTTATCGGTAAACAGTTTAACGTAAAATTTGCCTGTTCGCATACGTTATTTTATAACCGTAGCCTAACTTGTACCTTGTTGTGATTTGATTTGTGTTGTCTGTTGTTCATGGTCAGGGACAGAGGATTTGCTTTTTTACTATTTTTTGAACAATTCATATTCACTTGAACACAACAAAAATAATAAAATAAAAAATAAACATAACATAACCTATTATTCGACGGCGTTATTTTTAGACGTTATTCGAAATAGCGCTTAACGTAAATGCTGGGTAAATTACGTTATGCGGTAACGTTATTTTAGTACGTAGTGTTAAAAATCGAATCGCGCATAGGTTTAATGTCAAAATAACGTAGGCGCTAATACTGCATGACACTATTTGGGTTACCGATATCTCTCTCATTAGCGGACCGCGCTACCTAACGGGACTGGTTCAAAACAGAGTTCAGCTGAACTCGACTGGTACTTGAACTTCTTCATTTGAAATGCGTTGCTGTCAAAAATGATAGAATTTGATTAATAGCTGACAGCAAGTCGAGTTCAGTTGAACTTTGTTTTGAACCGAGATTGTACAACTGGGCCTTAAGGGTACAACATCGCTCCTATGCACACGATACAAAATACAGAAATCGGTTTTAGACTACAAAAAAAAACCGCACATCAGAATTTGCTGAAATTTGGCATAAACATTCCTTGATCGATTATCTAGAGAATAGTGCAGTTAGATTTTCCATATTTCGATTTTTTTTTTGGCCTATATTGTGAAAATGAACTATTTCCTAAAAATAGAAAAATCCACGGTAAAAATCGAAAAAATAAGAGCACTATTCTCTAGATAATCGATCAAAGAATGTTTATGCCAAATTTCAGCAAATTCTGATGTGCCGTTTTTTTTTGTAGTCTAAAACCGATTTTGGAATAAAATTACAGATATTTTTGGCAAATATAGTTCAGGCTTTTTTTCGAAGATGGCGCCACCAGTCAATTCGTGATGTCATGATTAGGCGTTTTCGAAAAACCCGAACCGTTGGAGCAGCAGCTGATGTAGGTTGTTCAGCGTTTCCAAAAAAGCCTATTGACAACAGAACCTCCTTCTCACCTCATGTATTTGTTTTGTTTTTTATTATTGGTTTATAAAATAATATGCACAAAGCATGCTGTACCATTAGTTTCCATTGAAAATAAATAGAGTATCTATTTTACGTACCTAGGTATACATAAAAAAATTGGATCGTGTTTTGTAGGACAAAATGTCTTTGAAAAAATAAAAAGCTTCAATAATAATTATTAAAATTTATTTACAAAAGGTGGAAAGTGCTAAAATTAGAGTTTTTCCTTTGTGTTCTTGCATATTTGTGCAATAATAATATCCACCAATGCAGTAGAGCATTCCATTTAGGTATCTGGCGATTTGCATACTTACCTACCTATTTTTTACATACATATTTATGAATATCATTAGTTGTATTCCTTTCAAGAGTTTGAAACACTCGAGCTACTCGCTCCGGTGTTCAGTCGCCCCCGATTTGCAGGGAACAGATGCGTGGTGCAACAAACAATTTTCGAAAGGAATAAGCGCGTGAAGCCCCGGAGCTGTTCCGGGGCTCCTCCTAAGTGTGAAAGGAAATGAAAATTTGAAAAATTGGCAAAAGATTATACCTACTTAGTGGAAATATTCCGAAATCAATACAAGGCAATTTCTTCATACATAAAAACCTGTTCTATTCCTAATAAAGTAAAATAGGAAAAATAAGTATATCAAGTTTGGTTGGGCCAGGCGAAATAATAATGGCAATTTCCCGAGCAATTCCCATTAGTCAATCAGTGCGAACTTAGTGAAAAAAGTTGCACTGATTCTGCAAATTGAAATCGCTATTATTTCAAATCTTGGCGCCATCTATAATTTTTTTTATAACTAAAAATCTAATTTGTATCGTGTGTATGGGAGCGATGTTGCCCCCTTAAGCGGATGCCTTACCGTAACGCTATCCTATGTCAAAATAAGTTTACGCTCCATTTACGTCTGCAAGAACGACAACTGCTAATAATTTCTCCATAAAAAACACCAAAGGAAAATTAATCAAAGTCAGGAATCTTCAAAATAAATGAGAGTTAGAAAACAAGCAAAAAAAAGTTGGGTTAGATCACTCAACTCAGCTGTCAAATGTAAACAAAAAGGGATTAGAGGATTTTTGTGTCTTTATGTCCGAGAACTATAAAATACCATGTAAAATACCGTATTGTTAGCGTTACCATATTAGCGTAGCGTCTGAGACACGAGAACTTTCTAATTTCCAGTGGGATTCTAGAAATCAAAATGGAACAGATGCGCTGGCTTTCATGCATTTAAATGGTTTAAATTGGGCTTGAGCACAGGTGCAACACTTTTCGAAAGGAATAAGTGCGTAAAGCCCCGGAGCTGTTCCGGAGCTCCTAGCTCTTCCTAGTTGTGAAAGGAATACAACTAATATTATCGGCCAAGAAGTTAATTTTTTTGTGCTGAGCTCAGAGCAGCGAACATAATTTTGTCTTCCAGCGAATGGGCGTTTTCACACTGGCCGACACGACACCGACACGGCAACGACAACGATGCCGGTGGACACGCAATCTCGTGTAATTAAATGAAAACGATTTCACACTCGCCGATATATCGATATCGTGCCGTTGCAGGCGCCGACATGTCGGTGAGAAGCAACCACCCCGCTAGTGTCGTTGGCGGTTCTTTCTAGTTGTTTTCATATTTTAATAATATATTTGAATTTTGAATTGATTGGTATTTAAATAAACCATGGCTAATTTTAAGTATGACATTGTTACCCTATAGAACTTGTTAAATCAAAACCGTGTCTTTGGGACAAAACAAACGCAAATAATAAAAATAAAATACTCAGAGAAAATAGTTGGCAGGAGATTTTTCTACGATACGGCAGAGATAACTGTCGGTAAATGTGAAAACACCCGCTGATTTATCGTGTCGGTGTCGCTACCGTGTTGTGATCGTGCCGGTGTTGTGTCGGCCAGTGTGAAAACGACCAAATGGGTAGCGGAAAATTTTACTAATACATTGCTAATTTTATTCATTTTGTCTAATGTCTATTTATTTGTAAAAAACACTAATTTGAATTTCAATTACCGACCCGCCGATGCATTTACGCACTGCACAACGCTCGCCAACCCACTCAAATTACTAAAATTATGCTGAAATTGCTTCAAAAACTAATCCGAGCCGCTCGATCAGGTGGCCCCGTAAGCCTTGTAGGTAACTGCGAAATTCGCACTTTTTTGACATTGCTTCGACAATTTGACGTTTTATGCGCAGTGCCGTATTTCCCTATACGCACAGTATGTCTGGCAAGTGGTAAGTTGATAGAAACGAAAGGGGGAAGAAAAGTGGGGCGTAACCTAAGAATATTCACTGACACCTCAACTGACACCGCTTGATGATAGCCATGTCTTTGGGTTCAGTGGCACCGAAAACACCAAAGAAATGAACCAATAAAATTATTAGATTTTTTTTAAAGTTTCGCCAATAACCACGCCACTGTACTGTCGTTCAGGCTCTAACGCCTCTAACCTTAGGCTCTAACCAATAGAATCATTTCTCTGAATAACCACGCCTCTCCACATCCATTATTTCGCAAGGTTGCCAGATTTTTTTCTATTTCAAAATACCACACATGCCCATAAAGCAAAAAAAAATATGTCACCAACTTGTTGGTTACTGTTTCCGTCAAGTTTGGCAAAGCAGCAAATTCTATTGTAGTTCGCCGTTTGGCTAGCCAGACAATACGCAAAGGGGTATGGCGGCAAATCTGGGGAGGCGGCAAAATTTTTAAAAAAAATCAGAAAAAGACAAAAAATAATCGGGAAAAGAAAGCCGAAGATCCAACGCGAAACGCGGTTCTGTTTCGCGTTGGACCTTTATTTAATTTTTGATAAATTCGAACAATATTATAACAAATAAAATCTGTTTTTTTTTTAAGATAAAAGTCAAAATGACATTATGTTGGCAATACAATGTAAAATTGTCAATGCTTTCAAATTTTTTATGTAGAAAAGGCTTGTGTTGCCAACATAGTTACTAAATTTTTGACTTAGGGAATTATCTTTTAAAAAAAAACAGACTTTAACAATAAAATAACAAAGCACAAAGAATAGATACCAGTAAAGGAGCTATGACAATTCTAGGCCAAAATCGGTCATTTTCCCATGTAAATCTCCATAAGAAAATCTAAGGTCCGTTCTGGCAATTTTTGTACCGTTCAAGGTCATCCGTCTAGCCCGCCAGAAGTCGTTGCCGCTAAGCCCCGCCCCCTTTCCAGTGCCCATGTCTTTCATTGGTCGCGCTAACTGGTCAGCCGCCGCTGCGTTCAGGGTCATTGACCGTACCTGGTTCCAAGCGGCTCATCGAACACATGATACTAGAACACACAAGATAAGATCACGCGCATGTTTATGTTCTGTCTCTCTCCCTCCGCTGACGTCATCCTGTGACAAATTCGGTCCGATTAATGGCGTCTTGGCGTGTTTTTGTTCGTTTTTAATCGTTTTATCTGTTTATTAGTATTTTTGTCCGTTCTTACGTGAAAACGTCGCCCTAGTTGTGAATGGTCGTAATCGACTCAAGGTAAGTTGTGAGTAAACTGCATTTAAAATTTTTGTTTTTGGTGAAAATATGCTTTTTAATTAGCAAATATACTATAACAAGGTCAAATATTGATCACTGGCTTAGATCCATTCAGCAACATGAAATTTAAACATTTTTAAGTATTTTAACCTCGATGTTAACA